TAATAAAGAAATTTTATTGGCATAAAATATTTTATTGCCATTTTCTTTCTTTCTTTCTTTTTTTTTTTCTTTTACCTGACTATACATATATTGCATATTTTAGTGCAAAGAATCCATAGGTGGGGATTATACCACCCAAGCGCTTACACCGAGCAGTCCAAGCCTGCTCTATATTACGTGAGTAGTATATTTTATACTCTTTTAACTTTGTATTTTAATACAGAGAGCACTATATATTTTATTCTCTTCTTCTGGGTCTTAAAACACCAATTTGGACGTTGAACCTACGCCAGATATTCACCTATCAAACCTTACTCCGCATTTCCTTGAGTGGGGATTATTCCACTTTACGTGAGCAATATTAGAGCTGGATTTTAGCTCTGAAAAGTGTGAGTAAGACTAATTTTATTATTATATATTTTACTTACCTATATACTGTGCCATTGGAGTCCTGTTTTATTCTTTCTCTACATATGCTCTATCGAACTTCAAGCATATAATCGTGAAGATTTGATCCCATTAAACATCCTAAGAATTTCTTCTCTACACGTGGGACCTACCATTACAGACTGTGATAAGTTTGTTTGGACTATTGCCAATTACTTATTTTATCTTAATACTTTAATATTTTAATATTTTATTTATAGTGTCACTATTATACATTTATATATTTTAGGTGCACCCTTATTTTATTGTTTGTTTTGTATTCCTTGTTACCATTAGGGGATTATTGGGGACTCCCCTTTGAGGAGTGCAGCCTTTTTATCTATATCCTGTTGTGGCAATTCAGCGCTGATTTTCTTCTTTTGTTTTTTCCAGTTCATGTTGGTGTACCTGGATAACCTTCTCATCTATACTCTAGACCTTCGTACCCATCACGAACATGTGAAATCAGTGCTTAAAACCCTGCTGAAAAATGGCCTATACTGCAAGCTCGAAAAGTGCCAGTTTGATCAAACCGAAGTACAGTTCATCTGATATGATCCACCAAACTGGAAGCAGTATTACAGTGGCCATCACCGAAAGGACTTAAAGCCGTACAGCGCTTTATTGGATTTGCAAATGACTATCGCAGATTCATCAAAGGCTTCTCCTCTGTAATTGCTCCAATTTTACCCAAAAAGGAGCTAACTGTAGTTCATGGCCCAAGGAAGCAATAGAGGCGTTTGAAAAATTTTAATCTTTATTTGTTTCAGCACCCGTTTTAGCAAATCCACATCCCGAAAAATCTTTTATTTTAGAGGTTGATGTGTCAGAAACAGGTGTAGGGGCCATCCTGTCTTAATGAGAAAACCTAGATAAGCCTCTGTATCCCTGTGTTTTTTTCCCCAAAAAGTTATTTCCTGCTGAGAAAAACTACAACATCTGAAAAAGGGAGTTATTGGCCATTATTCTAGCTCTTAAAGAATGGAGGCATCTCTTAGAAGGTTCCATAGAGCTACTTTTGATTTTTACAGATCATAAGAACCTGGCTTATATTGGGGACACTAAGAGATTGTCTTCCAGACAGGCTAGATGGTCACTTTTTCTTTTACGTTTTAATTTTGTTATTACTTACAGACTAGACACTAAGAACATAAGGCAGACGCATTATCTAGACAGTATGATACAGATGAGATATCTGACCAAGAGTCGTCTCCTATTGTACCTCCTGAATGTCTCATTGCTACGACAGTTTCGGAATTGTCTTCTCAGCTCCTTTGTGCCATAATAACGAACCAAACTCAGCCACCAGCAGAGAAACCATCCACTAAACTGTTTGTCTCACCATCACAGAGAACTGGGTTACTCGGGTTATACCATGATAATGTGACAGCTGGACAAATCACGGGATACACAAAACACTCTCTGCCATTACTAGAAAGTTTTGGTGGCCGTCACTTAGAGGTGATGTCAAGGAGTACATGGGGGCATGTAGAATATGTGCTGTTTCCAAGGTTCCTCACAAATCACCTTCTGGGTTGTTAAAGCCACTTCCAATACCAGATGCTCCATGGACCCATCTGGCCATGGATTTCATTGTTGATCTCCCAGGTTCCAATGGGTACAACACTATCCTTATGGTAGTGGAGAGATTCTCCAAGATGGCACATTTTATACCTCTCAAAAAATTGCCATCATCTCAGGATCTTGTCCAAGTATTATTACGTGAACTCTTTAGGCTATATGGATACCTGACAGAGGTACCCAATTTATCTCTGGATTTTGGCGTGCTTTCTGCAAACAGTTGGGCATAGAACTTTCTTTTTCTTCTTTGTATCTCCCTCAGACCAATGGGGCGGCGGAGAGAGACAATCAAGCCTCAGAGTCTTCTTTATGTTGCTTTATTGATGCCAATGAGACTAGCTGGTCAGAACTCCTACCTATGGCTGAATTTGCTAGAAATAATGCAACTAACTCAATAATGACAGGATCCATTGTCCTTTGGTAATGTCACTTTCAGTCCTTTTTTTGTAAATAATGGTTATCACCTGAATGTATTGCCTTCTGATTTTTCAGACACTGACTTTCCTGCTTTAGACGTCCGGATGGCCTCTATCCATGACACTCGCTTGCTCTTCCTGCACATTTGGGGAAATAAAACATGTTCCATGTGTCTTTATTGAGACCGCTTACTTGCAACCGGCACACAAAGCGATTACTCCTCCTTGGTGGAACGGAGGAATTCGATGTATGTTCCATACTGGATTCCAGGATGTCTACAGGTGTGTTGTCTTATTTGGTGGATTGGAAGGGTTATGGTCCTGAGGAACGCTCTTGCATTGTTGCTGACAGAGTCCATGTTCCTCGTCTTGTCTGGTCGTTTCACAACGGGTTTCCTAACAAGCCTGCTCCTTCCCGCCCAGTGGGTGGTCTTCGATTGGGGGTACTGTCATGGCCCCCGACTCGTGACTGCACGTGGTCGCACCCGATTGGTGCGACCACGCTGACAGGTTAGTGAACTTGCCTGTTCAGCAGCGAGCCAGGAGCCCCTCCACAAGCGGCAAACAAAATGGTGCCAACCACGAGCTCCGCCTCCAAGGGTCACGCGTCGACGCACACACATGTTCTGGGGTTAGAGGCCAAGCTCTGACCAATCACAGCACAAGGAGGGGTATTTAAACAGTCATATTTCCTTGTTCTTGTTATTTGATCTTCCTGGTATTTTGACTTTGGCTATTCCTGACTACTCTTATCTGTGGTTTCCCTGACTTGGATTTCCTTATCGATCTTGTGTATTTCTGTCTTCCTTGACCTCAGCTTTCCCTTGACCATTCTCTGTCTTTCAACATATTAACCGGCCAGGACCAGTTTACGTTCTGTCTATCTTCTATAGTCTATGTAGATGTTACATAGTTTTGCGTGTTGGAGAACACTGGTAGTCGTGACACTATGTTTGTATGTCCCGGTGTGTGTATCTGTGTTTGTATGTGCAAGTGTGTGTATCTATGTGTCAGTGTGTATCTGTGTGTGTGTATGTATCTGACACACAGATACACACACACATTGGCACATAGGGGCACACAGATACACACACTGACACACAGATACACATACTGACAGATACACACACCTTGACATACAGATCCACATATACTGGCACATACACACACTGACAGATACAATGACACACACAGACACTGACACAAATATATACACACACACAATGACACACACAGATACACAAACTGGCACATACACACACAGATTCACACACATTGGGAGATACACACACTGACACAGGTACACACACAGACACATAAACACACACACACATGTTTAAATTTGTTGTTCACTTACCTTTTTTCTACAGTAGGATCTTCAGTGCTGCTGGCTGAGGTTGGTGTGCTGCTAAGTCCCCGCTGCTCCCTCTCCCCCTCCAGGCGACGCGTTCTCTCTATCAGGAAGTGCTGTCAATTCCTCCCAGCATCCAATACTACAGGGGTCCGGTCGTGGTTTTAGACAGCTGCAGCACCTGACCGGACCCCTGTTTAGCGATGCCTATCGGGTGGCCCTAAATGCTTGGACCACACGACGGGCAAATTGCAGTGGAACCCCAATTTTGGGTTCCGCGGAACACTAATTGGGAAACACTGAGTTAGACACAGATGGCCATGTCAGATGCTTCTGAGTTTCAGACGTAGCATCAGTTTCATAGGTTCACCATCACTATAATAAGTATGTTTGACAGCCTTCCCCTCCACAATTACTAGAAAATACAAGAAAACCCACTCATGTTGTCCCTGACACTCATCTGGTGCGTGAAGGTGAAGAAGATATGATCGGGCTATCTCCTTAATTATGGATTAGCAGACATCATAGGAAGTCTGGACCTCTATCATATTTAAATATTTACATAACAGCAACTCCTTATTTTAGTATCCTGGTAACACCTTGATATTAGGTGGTTGCTGCTTGAAAAACAACTTTGACAGGTAGTCTGTTAAAAGGATAATCAAGGCATAATTATCACTGGAATGCTCTATAGTGGTTATGGAGCGTGGAGCCCCTGGCACCGTGCCACTGTAGATACTCACACCATTTTATATCACTTTGACCTGGGTCCTTCAGGCATCTCCTGTCTGGCCCATCTTGAAATATACAACATATATTAGTCACTGTTTGGTCAAGTAAGCTTAAGCCCATATACTTGTCCGTACTCACTGTTAGTGAACAGCAGTGCAAATGGCTGACTTTTTAAATAGCCATCTTGAACTGGCATTGGTCATCTGACTTACATTTAAGTTGTATGCCAAGTCATATTTCAGTGGATTGATCTCAGTAATGGTTACTTATGTAAACCAATTGGTGGGAAAATTCTAAACATGGAACAATCACCATGGAAACCAATGGAATGTTTCTACTAACTCCTCTACGTTTAGTACTTTGGTCCATTTTATATAAATAGTCTTGTTTGTGTCAACTGGTCTAGAACAAAACATTCTGTGCTCACTGTAAATATATAATGAACAAATAAAATAAATATATCAGCCACAGTAGTTTTACCATTTATTTTTATGGTTTATTTTTCAGAAAAGAATATGCAGTGAGTTCCTTCATAGAAGTCACAAGAACTTTATTAGTGGGGATCATGACATAATTTGCAGAACTAAAATTCAATGAAATAACACTTTCTATGGACCACAAGTGCGTAAAACACAAGTCACACTTTGCAAGTCAAAACTTTAAGATGATATTTAAAATGTACATTTTACAATATACATTTTCAGTGACTTCAGTTATACAATTGCATTAATACACATAGTTCCTTTGGCAATGGCAATAATATTGATTTCATTATAAAAATAGAACAAATTTTCCACTATTTACAAACATATTACAATTACACGTTATTTATGGTAAAACACTACCAAATGGCAAGCCATGTGTGAGAATAAGAGCAAAAACACTGTAAAAAAATTAAATACTCCACATTTCATAAAAATTACATAAACAACAAACAATATCTGTTTGCAAATATCAAATGGTTTTGACCTGACAGGAATGTAATCCTACCATTTAATTTAAGGCACATTGGGGGGGATTTATCGACACTTTGCCACAAAGCAGACATTACTCCTGGTTTGCACGTTGTTATTTTTTTAGAAAATAATACACATTTAAAAATGTTTAACTACAGTTTGGTACAATGCCAGAGTAAACCACTGATAGATTCCTCCCATTGTCAATGTCCGTGTTTGTACACAATAAAATCTGTATATTTTGATGTGTGTGTAGGTGCATATCTGTTATGTGTATAAATAGGTTTGTCATATATATCATATGCATACACAGTTATAAATAGATTAATATTCTTCGTTGGACTAAAAATTCATTGAATTCTTTACATTTGGGTTTAATGATTAATCAACCTAGTTTTAGTTCTCCCTAACTTATGTCTTGACCATCTTTGTTAGTTCAGTTGGTAAATTGGGGTTTTATAAAAGTTGATATGTATCAAGGTGTTCGTCTGAAAATGGGAAAAAGTGGTCAATACCAGATTTGCTAAAATAATATCCCAGATAATAAAATACAAATAAATATGTTTGTTTCATTTTTGTTAAGCAGCACAGTTTTTGTTCCAGTTTTGCATCTGTGCAAGGTCAACTTCATCAAACACCCTTGATTATTCTCCTGAGTGCAAATCAGAGGAGAAGAAAATGGCAGAGGATGTCCTGTTGACGACCAATTAAAGTTGCTTGAACTGTTTGGGCCTGGAAGACTTTCTTAAATTTGACTGTGGTTATTTCAAACATGACATATTTAGACCTTCTCGTGTAACTTGATTTAGAATCCTGATGCGTGATCAATAACTTATAAATAATTTTGATATACAGCCCAATAAAAAAAAAGTCTAGGTGGGCCTCAATATCACTTGTAAAGTTCATTTGTACTGGCTCAAAGTTCATCTTGCTCACATGCACTGTCACTTGGGGCAGCATATCTTTTTGAGCCAGGAGATTTATAAAGGGGCATTGTGATTTCTTGGAGGTCAGGAAGTCTTCCAGACCGTGGGGGAGATATTAGATTTATTGTCCGACTTTCATAGTCTTTCGGCACTACTTTTTCATAGACACTTGGCAAGGCACCAGTTTTTGCGAGATGTGCTTGCGCTGGAGAAGATTGATAATAATTCTCTCTGTGGAGAGGGTCACGGGGAAGAGATGTGCTTTTACAAAAACTGGAAACTGAGAGTTGCCCATGCCCAGTGTGCATAGTGGCAGGATGGACGTTTTGTGGTCTACCACAGGATGGACTCCAGCAACGATCCGAATGACCTAGAATCTTGCATTCAGTCGTACAAGCCCATAATCCTGAAAGAGAAAAAAAACAGCACATTTTACTATGATGAGTCAAATATTAAATTACACATTTTTAAACTGGATGAACCATATGTATATCCATTGCTCATAATTACCCACATTTCTCTCGTTTCGCAGTCCCAATTAAAATTATTTTATCCTACACCTTGAGTATAACATATAATAATTAGATTGAGGATATTATTCAACATCATTTCATTGGTATGTCAGTTTTGCTAATTATTTATGCAATTAGCTGAAATAAGGGTCTATTTGGAACTGGTGGAATCATTTTGAATGGCTATATGTGTATATAACGGCAACCTTGTGGCGACCTTGGCATGACATGTATAGTGTGCACATCAAGACAGCTTTTTTAAGCTATAGATCATGTTATAAATCATAGAATGAAATGGATTTTGTATATACTGTACATTGTCACCAAAGACATTTTGGGATGGCATAAGCAATCGTGAGCAATAGATTATCAACATAACAATAACACAAATAATATGTAATATGCATTTTTCTTTCTATCCATACAATGTACACTTTTATATATAAACTATAAATTATATTAATTTCTTCATGCACATTACATGCCAGGACTGGCATTAAATAAAATGGATTTCCCTAATTCCTTGTTTTTATTATTATTATTATTACTAATATTTTCTAAAACACCAATACATCTCACAACATTTTTTAATCGGGGCAAATGGTATTAAACAGTTTGACTTGTGGACATATTTCCACATAACTAAAAAATGAATATATTTTTTAACATTAGAAAATGAAACTCAGACAGCACATGTATTATTTATTTTTCTCCTTTTTACAGCTGAAATCAGTTTGAATAAAATCCCACACTCCCAAATAAAGTGACTGCCATCTGACAGCCCTCAGAACCCCCCCTCATTCCCCCCTCGAAGCCCACATATCTGGGAGAAGTAACAATGTATCTCTGTGCTGGGTGACAAGTTAACCCTTACCAGTCTGCATGTGGTTAATGAGATCTTTCTTGAGTGCGTCCCCGCTGATATCTGAATCGCTGTCATTGAAGTCACTGTCTCCCTTGCCACTGTCTTTCCCACTGAATTTCTCCGCTTCCCGGATGGAGATGGTGTTGAATGAATGTCCTTTCCAGACTGTCACCGTGGTTCCTGCTTCCTTCCCGTACGCAGGAGCCTGGGCATAGCCCTGCAGGAAACAAGTCATTTTAGCAATGCCATTCTTTCAGACCACTGCTGTGACCAGACTGCAACTCCCATCACCTTCTGCAGGCAAACGGCTGGCTAAAGCTGATGAGAGTTGTAATCCAGCTAACAGCTATTATGATTTTTTGGTGTTTCAACCCTTCCCCTGCTGCCTCCCATCCACATTTGTGCTTTTGCTCTTACCTCGTTATTAGTTGTCCTCAGCCTCTTCTGAGAGTCATACAGACAAGCCCCAAAGCTTTCTTCAGTGCTGGCCACCACCTCTGGTGTAACTGCTGTCTCATTCCCAGTGAAGGGCTGGGTGGCGTTGGGAAATGGTCTGGCATCAAATAGGTTTCCATTCTGGTTGTCTATCAGTTCTTCATCATCCTGCTCGCCTTTCTCCAGCTCTGAGATGTCTCTGGGGTTCTTGGCATCAGCCTTCATTTCTTTCCTGCGTTTGTTGCATGTGGTTGCAATGGTGATGATGGCCGCTAGGAGCAAGGTGCAACTCCCAGCCAGGACAATGATAACGATTAAAGGGACATCCCAGTGGGAAACTTTCTCCTCCCAAGGACTCGGCTGCATGACCTCGTGGTTGACTGGAGGGGTCGCCCCTGTGACTAGGAAGCTGATCGTGGCTGTGGTGGAAAGGGACGGCCGGCCACTGTCGGTGACCGTAACCAAGGTTCTAAAGACCTGACCCAGTTCCCCGCTAAGGTCAGCAGTAAGGAAGATCTCCCCGGTTACTTTGTTCAAGGTGAAGATAGGTGCCCTTTCCTCTGAAAGGCTAAACATAAGTTCAGAGTTAACCCCTTCATCGGCGTCCTTGGCTTTAATCTGCGTGACCAGATAGCCATGTGGAGCTCTAGCAGGTATCCCAACTTCTGCAGATCCATTGGACAACACTGGGTGGACAATAGCAGGTGCGTTGTCGTTTTGGTCAACGATCTTCACCTTGATGTTGGCACTGCTGGTGAGCTGTGGAGACCCACCATCACTTGCCTGGATCCTCAAGTCCAGTTGTTTGAGGATCTCATAATTAAATGTCCTCAGGGCATAGATGGACCCCGTGGCAGGGTCCAGAGACACGTAAGTGGAAATAGGAGCCCCCATGATCTCTGTGTCCACCAGTCTATAAATGACTTTTCCATTGTGACCAAGATCGGGGTCTCTGGCGACCACCGTAGTGATGTAGGCACCAGGAGCATTATTTTCTAAAACAGATACTTCATAGACAGGTTTGGCAAACACAGGGGCATTGTCATTCTCATCACTCACTCGGATGGTGTACTGCTTAATGGTTTTAAAAGGAGGAGAACCTAGGTCTTCAGCCACCACAGTCAGGTTGTACTCGGCAATCTTTTCCCGATCTAATGGCGAGGTAGTGACTATCATGAAGCTGTCCTCATAGGCTTGCTGGAGCTTGAAATGATCGTGCCCGTACAGAGTGCAATGGACCTGTCCATTCGGACCGGAGTCTCTGTCCGTGGTGCTGATCAGAGCTACAAAGCTGTCCTTAGCCGCTGCCTCGGTGATATAGGCGACTCCCGAGCTGATGGAGGTCAGTGGGGTGATGCTGATAGCTGGGGCATTGTCATTCACATCTAGAATATGGACGATGACTTTGCAGGTGGCTGTTAAAGGGTTCGGGCTGATGTCCTGAGCCTGGACATCAAACTCGTAGGTTTGTTTGGTCTCAAAGTCAACCTGACCTTCAAGAGTTAAGCGACCGGATTTGGGATCGATCTTGAAGAGATGTCGAACCTCCTGAGACACCTGGGGACTGAAGCTATAGACAATCTCTCCATTCACACCTTCATCTGGATCAACAGCATTGAGGTCCAGCAGGAGGTACCCTAGGGGAGAGTCCTCCATGAGCTCCACAGTGACCGAGCTCCTCTCGAACGTTGGACTGTTATCATTGAAGTCCATCACCCGGACACTGACCACTGCGCTGCCTGAGCGAGATGGGCTTCCTCCATCCATGGCCACCAGCTCCAGGGTGTAGGAGGACTGGCTTTCCCGGTCCAACTCTTTCATCAGCACCAGGTCTGCGTATTTCACCCCATCAGCCCTGGTCTGGACATCAAGGCTAAAGTGACTATTAACTGAGATCTGGAAGCTCTGGATGGAGTTTGACCCAACGTCCTCATCAATAGCTATGTCCAGGGGGATCCTGGTACCCACAGCAGCACTTTCAGACACCTCCACGGGTATCTCATCGCTGGGGAACTGGGGGCTGTTATCATTGATGTCCCTCACCTCCACCTCTACATGGATGAGTTTGAATTGCTCCTTGGAGAAACTGACCACATCCAAAGCCAGGATACAGTTAAGAGTCTGTTTGCAAATCTGCTCCCGATCTATCCTCTCTCCGATGCTCAGCTGCCCATCGCTCTCCCGAACATGGATGAGAGAATTGTTAAACTGCTTCATCAGACGAAATCTCCCCTCTCCAGGTATGTTAAGGTGCATGTCTTCTGCTAAAGTCCCAATAACAGTGCCAGGTTCATCTTCTTCAAAAGTCCTGTAACGCATTGTCTTACAGGTGCACGTCGGTAGCAGCAAAGATAATAAGAGAACCTTCAGGCTTACATCCCAGGAGCAACATCTTCTAATTTTTGAAGTCATTTTTTTTGTTATTAAAAAAACAAAATAACTATAAACAAAAAAACAAATAAAATGCAGGTATGGATAATAAGATAAATTGAGAACTGGCGATGGCTATTGAGATGCAAAACACAGTTCATACATAGCAGCTACATAAGCTTCAAGCATTAATGTGTTGTGTGAAGTGAAATGCCCTTTCCTTCAACACAGTCTTGTAGTTCTAAGCGAGTCTGGAGACTCTTGTGAGGGTTTTATAAGCTCAGACATGCAAATGAGCACACGGAGCAGCCAATCACAGGGCTAGCTTTGACACCTTCCTTTAGAATTCTTCTCATAGCTCAGATTTAACTACTTCACTGCTCTTAAAGATTAGCAGAATTGAATAGGTCTGCAATGAATTGGTGGGTCATTTAGCAACACAAGGGTTACATTGTAAAAAATAAAGAGAGGGAACAATAGAATGTGTACAGCCTTTTACTGTCTGACTTAAATCGTGTTTGGTCTTCTTTTTCTATTTTTTTTTTTTTTTGTTCAAGGTTGAACATGAGATCATAGAAAAAGAATATTTCAGCAAATGGGTCGAGTGTTTTGTTAAGTTTGTATCTATAGGACCCTGCTGATGAACAGGTGCCTTTTTTTTGTGTACAAATATCCAAATCTTTGGAAGCTACAGTCTTACACACCATCAGATCTGAATAGGGGCATATAATGGAAACACTATTTTTCATCCTTCTCCATTAGTGTTCATAGCAGGCACCCATAAATGAGATTGAAGGATTATCTTGAATTCATTTTATTCAAATATTTGTGTATAATAGCAATTCAGTCGTGTGAGAGCTCATGGTCAGATATGCAATTTGATTTTCAGATGTCTGTAGCCCTGATTTAGTATGCAAGTCACTCACCAAGTGGCTTTCTTAAGCTCTGGACACTAGCAGGCCAAAAGAAAGTATTAAATGTTTCAAATAGGATTTAGCAGAGGCTTGAAGAGATTTGGAAAGGTTTCAAAGATCAGACAGTATCAAAGGCTTATAGAACCCTCGTTAGCAGGAATAGCTGAATAGCGTGGCAGGCTATCCCATTCCTGACACCAATGTCTGTATTATTCCCACATGACAGGCACAGAGAAATTGGGCTAAGATGAATATAACGAGCTAACACCACATGTATCCATTCTGCTCCCCTATTCAACCCAATGGCTGCCACAACTCTTTGACAAAACGATGATAGCCGCTGAATGAGGCACAATGCTCCTGTCATATTAGAATGCATTTAGTAAGCGATCCCTCCTGATGCTCTGTTCCGCCTATTTAGGGGATTTTCTTTTTCCTGTGCTAACAGGGTCTCTCTGGGAAGCAACATCAGCCTTGTTTCAGGCTACCAAAACCTCAGCAGGGGGTTAAACCTGGCACGGACCGTAGGGGGACTGAGCCATCTGCCTTCAGAGAGGATGAAGACATGTCCCCAAATCGGGGACCATCCTGCTTCCTGTGAGTGAGTGCTCTATAAGGTGGAGCACGTGTGTCACACGACCTATTCTGCCAAAATTCCATGCACACCATGGAGGGGGAGGAGGAGAGAGGGGAGGGGGGATTGGGGGTACAACAATGAATAAAACTTTTTCCCAAAATTGCATCAGATCCTCTCAGAGTAATATCACAGATTCATGACATCTCTCTAAACAGCCCGTTGGATATTTTCCATCTTATTTCCTTTACTAACTGCATTCTGATAGACATCTGCTCACATACAAGGCTGGGATAATATACATAGTGATATCATTAAGTACATACAGTGTAGCTATAAGTAGGTTTGTGTTTTCAAAGGGATACAGTGTATTCTTATAGATATACATCTCATGTTCTTCCAGACTGCATTATCTGCCAGTGAACAGACTGTAGAGAGCAATGGGAATTGTAGTCCATAAAAAAATTGAAAGTCTAAGACTAGCCATTTAAGCAAAGTCTATAGGGATTTGTTCCGTACTGTGATCGTTTGATAATCTTACCGAGATGAATAGATATTAGTCTAGAGTAGGAAATACCAAACACGTGTAACCCTTTATATGCCACCCGAGATAGCTTTGATGTGACTATCTCCTTATAGAAAAGCAGGGACTTTCTATAGAAAGACTATACTATATAAAGATTACTATAATAAAGACATTGCACTATCTCCACTGTGTGGAATTGAATTTGCAGTCTAGAAACATATTTAAGAATCTGCGAAAAGAGACCTGAATAATCCTCTGAGTATCTCAGCCAGGCACAGGAAAGGTTAATTCCTGCCAGGGTTATAACATTGTATATTGCTCTGTAATGATGCCCACTCTGACATCTTATCGATCAAGGACACAATTAAATCCGGCACTTAAATATATTATATCCTGCTCTTAGCTTTATGATCATTAAGGATCAGGGAGTGAGATTTGGAGTTGCCTTCTCTGAGCTTATTGTTTGGCATTATCTAAACAAATCAGTGCTGCTCTTTTGCCAAGAGTCATTTGTAGTTGAAGTATCTGCTCCCACAATGAATGTGCCAGGCAGAGCTAAAAGATAGAGTGCAGCGCCAGAAACTCTCTGCTAATGAGGACATCTGTGTGCTCCGCACTCACTCAAACACTATCACTATGGCCAGCCTAGTGAAGACCCTGCATGTATATCACTAGTCTGTTATCACCAGTATCAGTAATAGTATGCATGTATATCACTAGTCTGTTATCACCAGTATCAGTAATAGTATGCATGTATATCACTAGTCTGTTATCACTATTAATAGTATCATATAATAGTAATATAACTAGTCTGTTATCACCAGTATCAGTAATAGTATGCATGTATATCACTAGTCTGTTATCACTAGTATCAGTAATAGTATGCATGTATATCACTAGTCTGTTATCACTATTAATATTATCATATAATAGTAATATAACTAGTCTGTTATCATCAGTGTTAGTAATAGTATGCATGTATATCACTAATCTGTTAACACTAGTAATAGTATATTATAGTAATATAACTGGTCTGTTATCACTATTAATAGTATCATATAATAGTAATATAACTAGTCTGTTATCACCAGTATCAGTAATAGAATGCATGTATATCACTAGTCTGTTATCACCAGTATCAGTAATAGTATGCATGTATATAACTAGTCTATTATAACTAGTAATAGTATAATATAATAGTAATATAACTAGTCTATCACCAGTATTAGTAATAGTATGCATGTATATCACAAGTCTATTATCACTAGTAATAGTATAATAGTAATATCACTAGTCTATTATCACTAGTAATAGTATAATAGTAATATCACTAGTCTACTATCACTAGTAATAATATGCATGTCACCAGTCTATCACCAGTCTGTTGTCACTTAACTATCACCATTCTTTTATCACTAATCCGAGTAATACCAATCCACTATCACTATTCAATCACCTGATCGTTATTACTAGTCTGTGTATCGCAAGTTATATATAATTTTTGCCAACACTGTTATCACTAGTATACAATACATCCAATTGTTATCATTAGCCTTATTCTTAACCAGTCATTTATATTACTAGTCTATACAGGTTGTCACTGTTCTGTGTTTCACAAGTCTATTATCACTAGTCTATTTCCAGTCTATGACTAGTCTATCTACGAATCTCATTTTGTTTTTACAAGTATGTGCATCATCTGACTGTTATCACTTGCCTAAATATCACCAGTGTTCTAGTGTTCGTATCACCAATCTGTTATATTAGTTTATCACTAGTTTGGGTATGGCAGACCTGCTTTCACTAGTCTGTGTACCGCTTGATTGTGTATCATCAATATTTTGTCATTGGTATGTGAATAACCAGTCTTCTCACTAGTCTATCAGGATTCAGTGTCAGGATTTTATTAATAATGAATGAAGTCCTTTAAAACAATTTTGTTTTGCCAGTCCATCAGTTACTGTGTGTATCACCAGTCTGTCCTACTTAATGTATCACTAGTCTGAGGTTCACCAGTCCGTGCAGCAGCAATCCGTCCCTGTTAGCCTACCAGTCACCAATACTTTTTCACGAATCCTTTTATCACAAGTCTCTCACTAATTTAATGTATTGATTACCAATATTTAATCACTAATAAGGCTATTATAAATCCTTTATCTTTTATTGTGTGCACTGACCACTCATTTGATACATATATTACAATATACTGTTATGATAATCCTCAGTCACAACAATGTGCAGTAATCAGCACTGTGTGCCTGTATGTCAATTTTCATCACTCTGTTATCACTATTGTTTGTATGCCCATAATGTCACATTGTTCTCTATACAGTCATGGTAAAATACTAGTGACCTAAGTATAGATGTATCAGACAGTCTAATAGAAGTCACAAGCATTATTTATTTATGTATTGAAACATTATTGATACAATAGACCTCATACAGACTATATTATTATTATTTTCCGTAAATTCCGTAGCGCTGTACAAAATATAACCATTCTCGATTCAGAACAGCGTTTCTCTTGTGGATGTGTTTATTACACAGGATGGAGGCTCAGGGGGCAGTTAGACGAGCTGATTAGTTAGAGACCCAGGGGTCCATGTTATCTAATTGAGGCTCTGAGAAGGTAGATGTGTGGAATCATCTCGGTTGAGCTTTGGGTAATGATACATCCAACCCATTCCTAATCCCACCCTTTGTAGGACTAATTACTGCTGGTCTGGACTGCTTATCCAGAAGCTCCCATTCTCTGCCCTGATTGGAACACAATCTGACTAGAAGTAATGAACCCCAAAAAAACATATCACAGAGAAGAAACATTTTTAGTTTGGGTAACAAAAAAAAAAAAAAAAAAAGCATGACTCCTCTATCTCTGAATATATTTTTCCCCCCTGTGAGAGTTATACATGAATCTCTGTTTCAGACAAAGGTTTCATATTCAAAGATGCTGTGTAAATGAGAAGAGGAGAGGATATAATACAATAAGCTATTTATGGGCCGGTTTGCCAGTGTAGGGTTTCTCATCTAGTGATACAGATATGAAATAAATCGATGTAGAGAATTCTTAGGACATATTTGGAACCATCATTTAAACATAGTCTAAACAATGCTCTATAGAGATTACATTGGGATGCTACCACGTGCAGACTCATCAATACAATGACAGGCATTGTTCTAACACTGATACCATTACTGGGGGAGGGGGTTATTACCTATTACTTAATCCCTGCTGGGCTTCAATGGAGTTTAGCACATGCACGAACCAATTTAGCACCGCAGGGGTTACAGG